ATGATTGACTCGGAAAACATTAGCAAAGGGGTAGAAGAAGTCCTTGCACACTGATTCGCAATACATCTTTGCTTTCTTGTAAAATTAACTCTGCATCTTAGTGTCAGATATATGACTTGTCTGCTATGACTGAGACACTTCCTTTTGTTTAATCATGTGTCATTACAAATAGACTGTTCATGCATACAAGGATAGAGAGGTTATTAGGGATATTTTTTAGGTTCCAGATGAGTATGATGGAGAAGAAGGTCGTTCTCTTCACTTATCATGTGTAGGGTTCACAAAATTATGGGATGGGGAAACCCTGGCTGCATGGTTTGCTAGAGAATTTTGCTTATGCATCTAACCATCACTGAGAAGGTTGTGTAGTTGTTTATCTATTTGACACCTGATGAGAGGGCGTTCCACAGGATGGGCACCACCACTGAGAAGGCCCTCTGTAGCCTCACTTCTCACAGTGGGGAAACTGCCAGAAGGCCCTCAGAGCTGGATCTCAGTATCCAGGCTGAACGATGGAAGTGGAGATGCTCCTTCAGGCATACAGGGACAAAGCCATTTAGGACTTTAAAGGTCAGCACCAACACTTTGAATTGTGCTTGGAAATCTATTGGGAGCCAACGTAAATCTTTTAGGAGTGGTGTTATATGGTCCCAGTGGCTGCTCCCAGTCACCAGTCTGGCAGCTGCATTCTGGATTAGATGTAGTTTCCTTCAAAGGTAGCCCCACATTGCAGTAGCCCAAGCGGGAGATAACCAGAGCATGCACTACTCTAGCAAGACAGCGCATGGGCAGGTAGGGTCTTAGCCTGCGTACCAGGTGGAGCTGGTAGACAGCTGCCCTGGACACAGAACTGACCTGCACCTCCATGGACAGCTGCGAGTCCAAAATGACTCCCAGGCTGCGCACCTGGTCCTTCAGGGGCACAGTTGCCTCATTCAGGACCAGGGAGTCCCCCACACCCGCCCGCCTGCCCCCTGTCCCCCAGAAACACAGCCATCCTTTGAAATGTGCACTTCTCTGAATTTTGTGATGCAGTTCTCCAACCAAACAATTTTTTAAAGGGTGTATTAAGGAAAATGGGCATAAAGTGACCCACATTAGTGAAAATAGCATGAAAGTGTATTATATTAGGGGAAATTGCTTCACAAAACATACACATGTGTGTGTTAGGCAAAATTACAGACAAAAATGTGTGTTAGATATTTACACTGAAATGCCAGTGAATTTTCATAATAAACTGATGTGGAAATGTGGAGAACTGAGCATGAGAATGGAAAAATGGGAATCTGACAAACTACTGTCAGATCCAAATATAGTTTCAGCTTGAAATCCACGACCATAGCCAGTCCTGCAATGATACAAGGGGCCACCTAATTCACTATTTGATAGTTGTGAATTTGAAAATCCCAGAGTGCTGAAGTTAAAGACACAAATAAAATCCTTGGACATTTTTCTTTCCCCCACAAAGTTGGTAATAGGTTCACAATTAATCATTTCTGTCTTTAAAGATGTGCCTTTCCAGCAAATAAAGTTTTATGTCTTTCAACACCCAGAGTAACAGGAAGACAGAAAATTGTGGGAAGGCATCCAATCATCAAAGCAGCTCATATCTGATCAGATGAGAATGTGATGGATTTAAAAGTCACTGAAACATTAAAAGAGCAAGTACATGTTAACATGTATGTAAAGCTAAATTGAATAGGAACTTATTTCCCTTTCATAAATAACATTAACACCAGCTTTTTTGTTCAGTTTCCTTGAAAACATCTATTGTACAGTCCTACCCCTTAGTTCATCCTTTTTCTTGATCTACTCTACTGTAATGGAATTTTAACACAGAATTTCCCATTCTTTCAAAGATCAGCCACAAGGGAAATATTTTTACTTTTCACCTCTAGGGCACATGTTAGAAAACTAGGATGGGGAAACCATTTGGCGAGGAAATAATTGTTTTTATCTTTATATGACAACCTTATTTTAAGGCCCGATTGATTTATGGTTGTTATTAGAAAATCATTTGTCAACTTAAGGGGAAAAAATGCACATGTGTGAAACAATGGGGGTTAAGGAGGTCCCTTTCGAGGCGCATCAATCCATTTGCTAAAGAGCAAAAGCTTGTTCTATTCCTGTTCAAGGACCCTTCATACAATTATATCATATTGCAACCAGAAGCAGGTGGTGAAATCATTTTACCCCATAGCCTCAAGAAAGGAATCCAAAAAGGTCACATTTGAAAAGGTCACTAAACCACTGAATATATTAGTGCTTAAGGAAGGTGCTAATGGGTTTCAACATAGAAAGTTCCAACAATTATGATAAGAAGGAAGAAACAATGCAGCTCAAAAATTGCACTCCTTTCCCCAGTATATCTACATTTTAAGCATTTGTTGCTGCTTTGGTACTGACCATCAGATTGTATGAAACATTGCATTTTGGTATTGTTTTCACTTTGTTTTTAAATTGTTGTACTTTTTTATTAGCTGACCTAAGCTGTTACAACAGGAACTGTGGGGTATCAGAAAATAAACAACAAAAACCTTTTGGCCTTGTTAACTCATTTTAATGCTTCCAGAAGAACCCAAAAATCAAAGGATCTATGGCTAAAGCAACATCTGCTGCCCATTTAATAGACTCCAGTGAAAAGTTGTCAAGTTGAAATTCATATGCAGATTTGACATTGTTGGGCTGGGACTGGAATGACTAGACCACAACTGAAAGTATCTGACCCTCTTTGTGAGTTTTTGCACACTGTTCAACTTACTTGGCCAACTTCTTGCTAGGTTATTACACCCACTAGGACTGGGTAGAATAATAGAACTGTAGAATTGGAAGGACCATAAGATTCATACAGTCTAACTCCCTGCAATGCAGGAATCTTTGGTCCAACATGGGGCTCAAACCCACGACCCTGCTCTACTCTCATGCTCTACTGACTGAGCTATAATGAATGTTGACTGGCTGTTGCTTGCATTTGTGCTCTGCATATCAGTGGGGCATGCTTATTTATTGCACTGTTGGGCCTTCTAGCCTACAGTAAGACAGCACTTCGTGCAGTAACAACATCCTTTCCCAAGCCATACTTGTCAAATGTTGTTTGGGATTTGCACTTAAGTCTCCATCCAACACCAAATCTGAGGTTCAGATTTTCTTTTGAGGGGGGATTTGCACTGCTGCCCACCTTCAACTGATGGACAGAGCAATTCACAAGCAATTCAGACTAAAGTATAGAGGCCAACCTAGAGCATTTTCACACCTGAGGCTTAACTTGTGTGTTCCTACATCCTACAGATGCTTCCTACAGGCATCCTACAGGGAGCCAGTGTTGTGTAGTGGTTAAGAGCGGTGGACTCGTAATCTGGTGAACCGGGTTTGCGTCTCCGCTCCTCCATATGCAGCTGCTGGGTGACCTTGGGCCAGTCACACTTCTCTGAAGTCTCTCAGCCTCACTTACCTCACAGAGTGTTTGTTGTGGGGGAGGAAGGGAAAGGAGAATGTTAGTTGCTTTGAGACTCCTTAGGGTAGTGATAAAGCGTGATATCAAATCCAAACTCTTCTTCTTAAATATCATCTGGTTGGCCACTATAGTAACAGGATGCTAGACTGATGCAGCATCTGATACAGTGGTACCTTTGTTCTCAAACTTAATCCATTCTGGAAGTCCGTTCCAAAACCAAAGCATTCCAAAACCAAGGTGAGCTTTCACATAGAAAGTAATGCAAAATGGATTAATCTGTTCCAGACTTTTAAAAACAACCCCTAAAACAGCAATTTAACATGAATTTTACTATCTAAGGAGACCATTGATCCATAAAATGAAAGCAGTAAACAATGTACTGCAGTCACACAATCGATCGATCAGTAGCTGAACTGTGTTCCCCACAGTCACAAAAACAAAACAAAAAAGAGTCGCAAAAACAAAAAAGCAAAATAAATAGCAAAAACAGACAGACCTCAGCGTAACACTCAAATCAGAAGTGTAACACTCAAAACAGAGCACGTTCAGCTTCCGAAAAAGGTTCGCAAACCGGAACACTTCCAGGTTTGCAGTGTTTGGGTGTTTGGGTACCAAGTTGTTTGAGAACCAAGGTACCACTGTATTCTTATGCTATGTTAACCTTTTGAGTTCTCCTCATGTCATTTGTCCAGTTATTGTTCATGAGGAAAAAATGGATGAGAGGCATTTCTAATGAAAAGGAACATTTTGCCAAATGTAGGTTTTATGTCTGCATTACATACCTGATAAAATGGCTCTTGCTCCAAAGTGTTGCATGTGGAAATGTACAAAGTCTCATTCAGTCTGATCCAGGTTGCCCTTCATGGGAAGGAATGATACGTATATTTCAGTGCTCAGAAGCGCTGTGTATCTCCATTCAGTTTAGCAAGGGAAGTTTTGGGAATTGGAAATGGAGATGCACACACACACACACACAACTTTCCACAGTTTATTGCATTTGTATCCTATTCCACTTCCAATGATGTTAACGGCTATCTTTCACACGTACCCACTGGGGTGAATGAAATTTAGTATGTTGGTCAAAAAGCCACAGTTCCTAACACAACAGTGTTGACATTAGAAAATGGGACAGAAGTGTGCAATATTCCTCACATTTGAATGCGCCCTTAGTCTGCCAGTGAAGGAAGAGACTTAAGGCAACTTTCACCCTTCATTCCTTCTGCCTGGCAATGCCATGAGTCACCTGCTTACCAGCTTCAAGTCCGTTTTCTGGTTAAAGAAGCAAATGGTTACTGTAGCAGTGAGCAAGCAGGGAGGAGCAAAAATAACATATCAGCTTTTGATTTGCTGGCCCACTAGTGAAGAAAGTGTTGTGATCATTGTGTATGTATCATCTTGGGTAGTACGTGTAGTTTTAAGACAGCTAATAAAAAAGGAACTATGAAAAATGTGGTACTGAAGGTATTTGACAGCCAACATATAGACATGATTTGACATTATTGCATAGAAATCCCTGAAACCATCAGTCCTCTGTTTTGGGTTGCAGTTAAAAAGACAAGCTGGATAGTTACACTCATGAACATAAGACACAATGGCCATCAGGAGAAGAAATATCGGTTCTTGACTTGAACACTTTTACATTGGAAAAGGGCTGGCAAAGATTTCTGAAGAAAAAGCATTCGTGGTGTCAAAAAAGCAAAGACTGTGACTGATGAAATCATACAGACACATACTGAAGGTAATGCGGCGATATCAAATTGTAGGCAAATTTGGAGCAAAATGCTAAAAGTTAACAGGCAAACAAGGTAGAATTTGGCAATCTACCCCTAAATAAATAAGCTATTTCTCTTTTTGTGAAACTTGTTTCCTAAACAGCATGGTAGATATATGCACTGAGCAACGCTAGTCCTAGAAGGAGTTACATGAAGAATGTTTTCATTAAACTTTTTATCTTCTCTATACAAATTAAATTGGGACTTCTACTCTGGGTTAATGAGGGTGCGCACAGGAAAGTGATGGATGGCTGGTGAAAGACCCTGTGTGAAAGGCAGGGATGCGAAGATCTCCCAGGGTGGGAGGCTGGGAGAAGAAAGGTGAGAGAAGAGTCCACCCCCTTCTGTGTGAGACATGGGTTGAGATCTGCCTTTGAGAGAGGGCTTTCTAATTTCTCCCCTCTTTTTCTTTTCTTTTTGCTTTTTTCTTTGTTTTTAATTTTTATTTTAACTTAGATCGGTTTGTTTTTATTGCCTGATATGATAAAAAAGTGCAATAACAACTTAAATTGGAAGCAACATTTTTACCATAATTTGATAAAAAGTTGGTGGAGCTCCCAGGTGCTCCCTCTTCTCTGCTCACCCTGAAAACTCAAGGCTTTTGTTCTATGAGATAAGGGCTGCCTTCAGATGTGGGGCCTACTGTGATAGTTTTACTGCTTATAATGCTTGTGCTTCTCTTCCAATTTTTCTATTGTTCCTTTTACACTGCAGTATCTGTTGTGATATGTAACTGTGGCCTTTTGTTGATATACTGCCTCATCGTGCTAAACAGTGGGAAAGAGCTGTATGCCAGGATACAGCTCCTGATTTTGTCATGTGAGCGTCAGTGGCGTGATAATAAAAATGGCAAAACACAAAACTGCTTTTTCAAGCTTGTGGGGTTCTCAACATCCCCCTCCCCAAAACAAATTAAGATGGGAATGAGTGCTAATCTTCTCCTAGATTCCATTCTGTTTCCTGAAGAGGCTTTTACCATGTGTCAAAGATCACATAAACACAATAATTAACAGGTAAGAAAACATCAGGAAGACGGAATGAAGTGCCCTCTGAATGCAGCCAAGAATTGAATGTTGGCTATTCATTAAACCTGTTATGATCTTAAGGACAGCACTACACAATTTCCTTAGGGTTTGCAGGCAGTGGATGCTGTGAAATGACACAGCCGGTTTTTTTATCATTCTGGAATTGGGGTGGGAAACAAAGAAAAATGAGAATTCAATGAGGGTGAGCTTGGCCTCAGAGTCTGCTGGTGTCAGCGACTGAGGACACTTGGGTAGTGTTTCCGCCTACCCAAGAATGCCCCATGGATGACACAGAGGAAGAAGACTTAGATCCAGGACAGTGGTGGTGGGATATGGGGGACCAGTCTGTGGAAGGAACACGCTGGGAGATGCTAGGAGTAGGGGGGTTGAGGGAGCATGGGGGTGGGTGGAGAAGAAGAAAGCCATTCCAGGACAGGACTGGATGCTGAGAGTCTCAATGCGAGTGCAGACTGACAGAGAGGCAGAAGCTGTTTCTATTGCTCAGCAACTGGACAGTCCTGTTCCAACTAGCTCTCCTCATCCACTAACCCCCAGAATGAGAAGAGTCCTGCACATTGCTGAGCAAAGGGCCAGGCAGGCCAAGAGGGGAAGTCCTCCCACTCGCCACAGTTTGCCATGAGTGAGGGTGCCAGAGAGGGGAAGGAGGGGCCAGACGCCAGTTACTGCAATGTCTCCAAGTAAGGGAGACGAGCCTAGAGGAACACTGTTGTGTTTTTACTTCTGTGAATAAAAGTTCATTGCATTTCCCATCTCAAGTCCTTTCCCCTGACCTATGGATGACCTGCATTCTTTTGGCAGCCCCTCGACAGCCAGGCCTCTGTATTTGCAGTGCTCTTTGGAGATGGGAGACAACGAATAATAAAATAGGTGTGTTGAATGTTGTGTCTGATTGACATATTGCAATTTTCATTGGCCATTTTCCGTGAAGCAATCTTCAGATTCATCTTGAATTTCACTTTAGGCAATTCGGTGCTAAGGTAGATTGTGCAACTTGTCCCTCCCACCAGGATGTTTCACTAATCTGATCTAGGGCTGCCACATGAATAAAATATGGGGGGGGAGGGACCAGGTAAGTCCTGCCCTGCGTAATTGATCACAAAATGTGGCACACACACACCATTTGAATGGCAATGCCCATCAAAAAAAATTGGGGGGTGATCCTCTCAAATATGGGGTGTGTGTGAAGGTAGCTTGGCCTCTAGGAATTGGCTCTTGTGATCTGATCAAATTTAGTTGGCTTTCCTCAAAATTCCTGTCACCTTGACAGGAAGGAACATGAAATTCTGAGGCACTGCTGATGTAGATTTTTTTTATAGTGCTGAAGGCAATGCAGCCCAAAGACCACTTGAAAGTATCTGCCACAGAATAGCTATATATGTATATATTACAGATGAACCTATTGAGTGTTAACTTCTGCAATCAACTATTTTCCACTGAAGCATTGTGTTTTAGTGAACTGACCATTGCAGTTAGTTTACTTTCTTTCCTCTCAACTTTCCTTAGACAGTTCCCTCTCACAAGGAATCTGGCTGCATCTCCTAGCTGTAGGCTTTCGGTCAAAGATTTGGCTGATTATTTCAAATTAATACACAATCTCTCATTTGTACAACAGCAGGCAAGGTACGCCTCTCCTCTCTACCTTTTTAGTATGTATTAAAACCGTTTTATCTATAAAATGTCCAAAGTGACTAATAGCATCTGAAACCTGAAAAACAGGGCAACAGTAATAATCATATCAAAGTGGCAAAAAGCAGATAAAATCCAGAAGCAGGCAGTCAAGAGCTAAAACATTATAGATATTTAAGATAGGCCAGCAAAAGTTTAAATTTTCATGGGGCAGCCTCAAAATCTAAAACCAAGAGGATTACAACAACTTCAGAACAGAAAGGTCAACTAAGTGAGAAGAATTGCGAGTTTTGCACCGGTGGAGTGCCCAGTAATCACCACTATCACCTAACCTGTTGAAAATATGAACATCCTTCCCTCTCTCTTTCATTCCTATCAGGGATGGAGAGATCATAGCCCTGCAAATGTTGCTGGCTACAACTCCCATTATCATTGACCATTGGCCATGCTGGCTGATGGGAGTTGGAGTCAAGCAATATCTGGTTCTTCATCCTGTCTCTATAGTTCACAATGAATTTCACCCAGGAACCATCTGAAATGCTTCTATTTGATTTATTCCTATTGAAGTCCAGCACACTCTCCTTTTGGCTAGTAGAATGTCACAGTAGTGCTGAGTTTATTATTAGTCATTCCATGGCTCCAGGAAGCAGCCCTTGATAGGAAAGCTCAGCAAATAATGGATGGCACATAGCACATATTTGTATAAACACTGCTGATCACTCTTCACTCACAAATGGAAGAACAGAGGTGGGAGCCAAGTGTGGGTAAATAATGATACCAAATGAGAGTCAACACATTTAAAACACAAGCAAGGTCATGGTAAACCACAGTTATGTGGGAGCACAGCAGATAAGAAACCGAGCAAGTGATTATGAAATATCTGTATCAAAATAGCAGCTAGAGAACAAGCAATATTGTAAGACTAATGCGTTTCCCACTAAAATGACAAGTTCATGTTTATATAAATGCTGCTGTATAGATGGGCTTTAGGTAAAGCTGAAATGGAAATTCTCAAATGTTCAATATTTGGGAATTTTCAGATTTTGGCCTGAACATATTCATATGGGAAACCTTCAAAATCACATTTTGAATGTGACAGGTTTAATTCAAAGTGTGAATGTTTTAGATTTCTTGGCGTCCCTCGAGTGTTTCAATCTTGGCAGGCAACCATTGTGAAATCTCACAAGCTGTCAGCTGTCAAATATTAATTACTATAGCATGTTGTCTACCCTATGCTGTATGACAAAAAATGCACATACCATGACGTAACTATCAAATACTTTGCAGTATTAAATGCTTTTGCATGCCACCCGTATATAGCACACCACTGGTTTTCAGAGTGTCTTCAGATCCCATAAACATCCCTAGACATGACTACAGTTTCTAGAAAGATGAAGGCATTTGTTTAAAACAGTGGGGTGCAGAAATAGCTACCCGTTGCGCTACAAGCAGAAGGGAAGTGGCATAAAAAGGAAAAATGGGGAGAATTCAGGAAACTTTCACTTACACATACCTTTTAATACTCGCTAAAATTCAAACTTCGAAAAAAATTCTATGCAGCACTAGTCCTCTTTGTTGAGATCTAGACGGTAATCCCCCCCCCCAATATTATAGACTAAGCCCTCAGGGCTAAATTAGGTGTGTTGCTTGTGTAAATTCATGTCAATAGAAGCCAAGAGTACATCTGGGGGAGAGGGAGGAAACTGTTTTTAACTGTTTCACACCCTGCTATAGTCCCAACATCATTTCCCATTTTGAAGCTCTTTGAAGATTTAAAGCAAGGATCAGCATGGGCCAGTCCACTGTCCCTCAGACCTTGTGGCGGGTGGACTATATTTTGGAAAAAAAATAAAAATGAACTAATTCCTTTGCCCCACAAATAAGCCAAAGATGCATTTTGTATAAAAGCACACATTCTACTCATTTAAAAACACCAGGCAGGCCCCACAAATAACCCAGAGATGCATTTTAAATAAAAGGACACATTCTACTCATGTAAAAGCACACTGATTCTCGGACTGTCCGTGGGCCGGATTTAGAAGGCGATTGGGCCGGATTCAGCCCCCGGGCCTTAGGTTGCCTACCCATGATTTAAAGGGTCCCAACCAGCGCCAGTAGAGGCCTCGCTTGAAATGACAAGAGGAGCTTCAGAGAGGAGATTTTTGTTGAGGCCATGGCAGGGAGAGAAAGAGTTAAACTTAATTGTGAGCCAACAAGGTTTGGATGTTGCTATTAGGTACACACTACACTATTCCCCCCTCCCCCGCCTAGAAATGCACCTGTCAGTTTAATTTTGGGGGTCTGCCTTGGTAATAATAATAATAATAATAATAATAATAATAATAATAATAATAATTTTTTATTTATACCCCGCCCTCCCCAGCCAAGGCCGGGCTCAGAGCGGCTTACAAGCAATAATAAAAACAAGATGAATGATTACAACTTAAAAATAAAAATAAAATACAACATTAAAATAATGGAACATTAAAATATTAAAATGTAGCCTCGTTGCAGGAGGAGAAGGAAAAGAAAAAGAAAGAGAGGGAGGGAGGGAATCAAATTGGCTCCAAGCCAAAGGCCAGGCGGAACAACTCTGTCTTACAGGCCCTGCAGAAAGAAATCAGATCCTGCAGGGCCCTGGTCTCATGAGGCAGAGCGTTCCACCAGACCGGAGCCATCACTGAAAAGGCCCTGGCTCTGGTTGAAGC